TTTTGTATGGAGTCAAATGAAGATACTTTTTACACCAAAGTTGTAGCTCTCAATGAGATCTACAACTTTGTAGTTTTGAGGTTTTTTATTTGAGGACGTTAAGAGGCTCAAAAAAATAATATAAAATTTTGGCGCCTCCTGAAAATAGAAAATCATTTTTGAAACCAGCCGAGGACCAAATTTGTCTGGTTTTGATAGTTGGAGGGTGTTTGTTACCCGGTTTCATAGTTGAAGGTTGAAAATCAAACTTCAGTGTGTTGTTGGAGGTTGGAAAGTATACTTTACCCAAATATTTTTAGTTAGTTCTCCAAATTTCGAATTTCCCGCTACTCAAAGATAGAGAACCGAATTAACTCTCTAGTGTACGAATAAGATATAGAAAAACTATTGGACGATGAAAAGATATAGAGGATAATTTATCTTTAATGATTCATGATCCAGAGGATGAGCTCTCAGAGATGATGCTCTAACACTCCTCTCATGTGCAGTCACACTTTTGTAGAAAACAAAAATGAGTCTCCGAAAATCAGCGTCATTGCAATTTTGACGACCTGAGGCAAGGCATTGACCGGAGGCCAAAAGGATAAGCATCCATGAGTACTCCGTATACCCCGATTACCCAACGACGACGTCAACAGCAGCAACAACAAAAAAAAAACTAATCCGTCGAATGTGAGGTGAAGCCTGCGTTACGCCCACGTGCGGCCGCAGAGCACGAGCGTTCATCGACATGACGCCCCCCTGTGAACAGGTCTCGCGGCGCATGGTTCTCCGAACCTAACGGCGCCACGTCGCCGTCAACGGGATCAGATCATCAGAAAAAGAAAAAGGTGCGAAGGACGGGTACGGTGACGTCAGTGCCGACTTCATCTCGCGCCTTTTGCTGTTGGCATCAGTGGGTACGGCAGCGCAGCGCGAGGAGGTTCCTCTGCAGCCGTGCAACAAAAAGGATGACTTTTCTCTAGTCTAGACGCATATATATGAATAAATAATAACAAACAAATTAAGTAACCCTAGGATTTATTCGGATTCATTAGCACTAAAAATTAGTCACCCTGCCAACGAGATCCTCGTTCATTGGTAAACCGGCATGCAAATTTCCGAACGGTGTGATGTGATCAAAGGGTTTGCTGGTTTTAGTATAAAATAAAACCGCATTGTAGTGGAATTTGCTTGAAAGCTGACTAAACTGAATATATTGGAAACCAAAGTTTATTATCCCCAAGGTAGTAGAGTGAAAGAAACAAGAATTTATAGAAATAATTAGTCAATAACAAACCAAAACATTTTTAAAAAAATCTAGTATTTTTTTTACGTAAATCATGGGATCCAACTAACCTCTTAGGCTTACTTTTTTTTTAAAAAAAAAGAAAACTCTTAGGGAATCTTGTTATGAGTTATTAAGTCTCAACACTTTTTTTTGTTACAAAATATAGAAAAAATCTGTGTTTGGTGGAAAGTGATTGAAGGAGCCCAAAATTGGGGTCCCAAGGTCCACTAGGGTCCCGTCCCGTTTGGATCGGATTCTAAAATTCAAATTCTTGATAAAAATATTCTCATATGTTTTTTTGGATTTACGTGCTTGTGTGATAGAATCCTCTAGGATTCTGATGCATTTGGATGAGATCCCAAGATTTTGGACATCTAGATTATTAGGTCGAGAGATTCTAATAATCTGGATTCTAGATATGCATTGTAGAATCCAGATTCTAGATAAGAAAAATCCTACCCGTTTGGATTGTGGATTCTAGTCGGAGATCCTAGCTATTTGAAGCCTTGTGTTCTCAAAAATACCCTCAAACATTTCGTCCCTTTTAGGCCTTAGAATCCTATGGGATCCAAACGCTACCAAGGTTGGACACATGGAATGGACCGAGGGTGTACACGTACCGCGGCGGTCGTCCCTATTAGGCCTTATTTGGATAGATGGAGTAAAATTAAACCAAGTTTTATTCCATTTTACTCCAACACACGTAGATGCAATTTTTTTTGGATTTTGGCTCTGTAGCACTTTTGTTTGTATTTGGCAATTAGTGTCTAATTATGGACTAATTAGGTTCGAAAGTTTCGTCTCACGATTTCTTACTCAACTGTGCAATTAGTTTTTTTTCGTCTACATTTAGTACTCCATGCATGTGCCGCAAGATTCGATGTGATGGGTACTGCGCAAAATTTTTTGGGAACTAAACAGGCCCTTAGCCCGTGTTTAGTTGTGTGGAAAGTTGGAATTTGGCTACTGTAGCACTTTCGTTTTTATTTGGCAATTAGTGTTCAATCATGGACTAATTAGGCTCAAAATGTTCGTCTCGCAATTTCCCACCAAACTGTGTAATTAGTTTTTTTTTCATCTACATTTAATGCTTCATGCATGTATCGCAAGATTCGATGTGATGGAACTGTAGCACTTTTTTGAAATTTTTTTTGCAACTAAACACGGGCTTAATCAATTTCCGGCAGTTTCCCTGCCGGTCCCTTGTCTGCCGTGCGCCCGTACCAAGGGGGTCGCCCGTTCCGTGGAGCGGAAGGCTGAGCGCGCAGGTGCAGGTGCAGGTGCAGGTGCAGCGTACCACAACGCCCGCCCGCCACAGTCGTCAAGAGTCAGAGCGCAACGACCCCACGCCTGCGGCAGCAGTTGGGCAGCCGGGCCGGGGCCGGGGCCGGGGACGTCCCGAACGAACGCAGCACGTGCTGAAAAGGTTTTGAAAAAGCGCTAGCCACCTACTACGCCGCCCAGCTTGTTGGGTTCGTCGGGCCTTGCGAACGACCGATGGCTTTGGATCGCACACGCGGCCGCGCCAGCTTGATTGCTCGTTTCTCCTGTTGACACTTGCTTGGATCGGCAATCGCGCGCGTGCATGCAGGCATGGTCGTATTAGTATTTGCTTGCTGATGTTGCCCTGTCATCAGCCGATACCCGGGTGCTTGCTCATCACCCTGTATCGATCCGGCCATCTCCTACCGATATTTTGGATGCCCATTCCTGTCCTGCCACGCGGCGGCCCATCGGTGGCCTACCGTACCATTTTGCAGGATATGCATGCCGTTCATATGCCCTTTCCACTTTGGACGCGACTCAACACAGAGGACAAGACCCCCCCTTCCCAGTTGCTTCTAACTGCGGGGCCGCCAGCTGCCGGTGCATTGCGCCGCACCAGGCAACGTACCGTACGCGAGGAGGATGTGCCTGCTGCTGATACTCATGGTGGAGCCAAGATTTGAAACTTAGATATTCCCACTTCCACGTCACAAAAAATGTCCATTTCATCTTGCGCAAAAAAAAAAGATCCAATTCATAGTTTTAAAATATAATTAGAGTATAGTACATTATCGATAATTAATGTCACAAAACAGTGGAATCACAAATTATTCAGCTAATCGGCACTGTAAAACAGTAAACTCTAGAGAACAGAAAATAAAATTGAAGAACCAGTGATCAGTGGACAATGGAGGCCTGGAGCCCAGTGCCTGGAGTCCTGGTCAGGTCTCAGGTGATCAGGTCTTGCCGCCGGCCTAGGATCTAGCCACTGGCAGCTGCGGTGTGGGCGCGTGGCTCGCCGCCCCTGGCCCTGGCCGGTCTGCCCTGCCACCAGGCGCCCTGCCCCGACCGCTAGCTGCTGCCGCGCACACGCTGGCTGGCTGGCAGCGGTGCTGCCTTGCTCGGCCGCCGCCGCCTGCCACAGCGGCACCACGCACGTGTGTCTGATTGGCCGACCTCATGCAGCCAATTCCGAACTCTGCTGACGTTTCGGATCCGGCAGCTTGTTGCTGGGATGATGCTGAGTGCGTGCCCCCTGTCACGACCTCAAGCTCTCCATTGCCTTTCTCCCTGTGGAGATTGATGGCTCTGATGGGGCGCTTCTATCGCCGGGTTGTGGCCCAGATGCCATCCAGCTTTCCGCCACCGCCACGACATATTCCCGGAAATACAGGGGAATACCCTTAAAATCCACCCATGCTGATACTGTTAGTGTCAATGCATGCCGCTCAGCCTGCTGTTGTACCCTGCGGTACGACGGCTGTCAGAAACATTTGAGATTATTATACGACCCATAAAAAGAGTCGCTATGAGACTTGTGCCGATTAAGCTTTTTTAAGTTTGACTAGGTTTAGAGAAAATATTAGCAATATTGTATCTCCAAATAAATATGTTATAAAAATATGTTCAACGATCTATGATAAAAGTGTTTCACTTCTCGAGAAACAAGAATGACATTTTTCATGAGACGGAGTGAGTACTTCAATATAAATCATGTCATATGTAGTATACTCCTTCCATCCCAAACAAGTATCATTCTCACTTACCAATAAATTAAATATTTTTAATTTTGACCAAATATATAGGAAGATATTATTATTTTTGGTACATAATTAATATTATTAGATGAGTCGTTAAATATATTTATAATAAACTTATTTAAAGATATAAATGTTGCTAATATTTCGTGTAAACCTAGTCAAACTTAAGACTCTCTTCTCTCTCATGATATTTTTAATATTAGATGTGTCATTCTCACTAATATCTCTAATATATTAGATGTGTCATTGTCACTAATATTTTTAATATTTTTTGGTTATTGTGCTTCAGCTTGCTATAAACTTACAACCTGCCTCTCTTCTTTCTCTTTTTTCTCTTCCACCTCCATACAACCTGCTAAAAGCCTCTTGTACTTGGGGTATGATTGGTTCGCTTCCAAAATTTATCACACCAATGATTCGGCAAGCTATCATTTTGTTACGGTGCATGGGAGGAACCACCGGTTCCTCGCTGGGAAAATATTTACCGCAGCTATTAATTAAGAAAATTAATTAATTGTGCTTAAGGGCTGTTTAGTACTTATCCTCTCCTATACAGAATCCCTAACTCCCTGAAACATCCACGAACGGGAGTCGCTCTGCCTGCCTTCTTGAATGATTAAGTTGAAGGGACAAAAGAATTTGCGACCGACCACAGCCTATTGCTTCAGTCGACGTCGCGGCGGCGGCTGCAAGCTTGTCGTCCTTCACGCGGCTGCAAGCTTCTCGTTGAAGAAGACGTCGACCTTGCCGCCGTCCTCCATTTCCTCGCACATGGGCATGACGCCAACGGCCATCTTCTTTCCGCCGCCATGGGCACGGCGCCGCCCGTGGCGCCTCGGCTTGCTGATGGACGCGAGCGCCGTGGTCGCTCGGGCAGCCAATGCGGCCATGTCGTCGGTCGAGAGCGGCCTGTCGAGCATGGCCGCTGGGAGCACGAAGTATATCTGCCCCGGCCGCAGCACCCCGCGCCGGTGGCCAGCGTCGGCGAGCGATCGTTGAAGTATAGCGCGTCGGAGTTGCACACGAAGAACGACGACGCCGCGTCATCGCCGCTCCGGCCGAGCAAGTACGAGATTCAGACAAGCAACTCCTAAGACGTCAAAATACTGTTATACCCCCTCTAAATTTAGTTAGAAACCAGTTTTGGGTCCATGTATTTTTTTTTCCGGCCTACAACTTAAGTTCCTCCTATCTGATTTTTTCTATTTTTAAACCATCCGATTTAACGTAACGGAGGACTTCCACTGTTTCCAAGCACGGTAAGATTTCACTTTGGTTTGCTAAAAAAACATTTGCCAAACTTTCACATTTGGCTTGCCAAATCTATAGCAATATTTTTACTCAACTTTTAGCTTGTCAAATTTTAGATGTCATCCAAGCACCCTTGCTCTTACACGGGCTAACTCATTTGGCCCAGTCACCGGAGACTCTGCAATTGGCTTTGGGCCTCCGCTTTTGCCGTACAGGTTCCGTCCTCTAGGTGTTCTTCTTCCATGGAGCCAACCGGCTTGTCAGTGACAGAAGAGCTAGCACTTTGGTGCGGACTGCAGTGATGGCGCTACAGGACAAGATGTTCCAACCAGCAGGGCGATGGCAGTACGTACCTGGAACAGGCATGAGCGGAATGTTAATAATTCCGCTCTTCCGTGCCGGGCTGCCGGCGTCCTATGTGATAGTATGAGACATTCTACCTGTCTCAGTTGGTACCAGAATGGAATTTACGTGATTGTGTTTATACGTGGACGTGGTATCGATAGATAACTGCTAAGAAATATCATATTCTATTTATGCTACTAAATTAAAATAAGAGCGAAGTTTCTATTTTTCTTTATCACTAGTAGAAAACAGACATTTTGTCTCGGCACCATTTTCGGAGTTACTCCCGGCATTTTTTGAACCCGGGAGTGAAGGAGATTTAATCCCGACTATACCCTCAAGCCGGGAGTAAAGGTCGCTGCCCAACGTTGCTGGCTCGGCAGGCAAACCTTTAGTCCCAGTTAGAGACTATAACTGGGACTAAAGATCGACATTTAGTCCCGGCTAGAGCCACTAGCCGGGACTAAAAGTTTAGTCCCGGCTGGAGGCTTTAGACAGGAATAAATATCGCTCTTTGTTCCTGGTTATAACCTCTAACCGGGAATAAAGCTTCCGCCAGTAGTTATTAAAAAACAAATAGTTTTAGTTTATTAGTTTCATTTATATTCTTTTCTTAAGTATACTTTGATTTTTAGAGTCTTTTGTTGAAAAAATAGTTTTAGATTTTAAGGGGAAAATTATAATTTTCACACATAAGTTTTTAAGTTTTATTTTACCGTATTTCAACGCAAAATTCTAGTGTTTTCAATCTATAATTCACTGTATTTCGTCTCACGCGGCACAAAGAAAAATGTAATAATAAAAATAATTATCAGAAAAACCTAAGATCTTGTGTGGGCCCATATTTTGGGGGTAAATGATTGCCAAAAAAATTTCAAGCCATTTCTACATAGGCGGAGTCAACGTGCTTCACAGAGATATATAGGACCTTTCGTCGAACCCTATCTATACACTTAAGTTCTCTAGGATTCTGAGGTCCATGTGCTTTCCATTACCGGATTGGTCTTAAACTTTTTCTCAAGACTGCAAATGCCCTGTGTGAGGCCACCGCCAAATTTGAGATTTTTCTGAGCTGGTTTGGTGCTTTTTGCACTTTAATTGAATTTCCGCGCGAATTCACCGATTAATTATACGTTGAACTGAGTCCACCCAAAAAGATCTGGAATGGTGCCAAACTTTGCCAAATGGTCTCTTGTGCCCTAGGTGACAAATCTCTGTGGAGGTCGACGCAAAATTCTAGTGTTTTCAATCTATAATTCACCGTATTTCGTCTCACGTGGTACAAAGAAAAATGTAATAATAAAAATAATTATCAGAAAAACCTAAGATATTGTGTAGGCCCATATTTTCGGGGTAAATGACTACCAAAAAAATTTCAAGCCATTTCGACATAGGCAGAGTCGACGCGCTTCACAGAGGTATATAGAACCTTTCGTCGAACCCTATCTATACACCTAGGTTCTTTGGGATTCTGAGGTTCATGTGCTTTCCAGTGCCGGATTGGTCTCAAACTTTTTCTCAAGAATGCAAATGCCCTGTGTGAGGCCACCGCCAAGTTTGAGATTTTTCTGAGCTGGTTTGGTGCTTTTTGCACTTTAATTGAATTTCCGCGCGAATTCACCGATTAGTTATACAATTATTGATGAAGAACTTAAAGATTTACATTAAAATGATGTGAAAACAAATTTTCTGTCGAAAACCAATAGATTTAATGATTTTAATTAAAGTCTATATTTTTGCATTAACGAAAATAGTGATTATTAGTTGCATTATGTTCAATATTTATAATTAAAAAGACAATAGTTTAGGTCACATATTTTTCTTGTGTGCAGTAAATCAAAATAAATTTTATTACTTTTTAAAAAAAATATTATGCCTAGTATTTAATTTACTAAGCAAATAATAAGAATTTAACATTTAAATAAAAATAAATATATATAATACACTAACCAACCAAAAAATCAAGCGTGAAGTGAATTTTCCGGCCTTTAGTCCCGGCTTGATCACGGCCGGGGACGAAAGGTGGGGCTGACATTGGCCCGCCAAAATTACCTTTAGTCCCATTTGGTTATTGGAGCCGGGACTAAAGGTGGACCTTTAGTCCTATTGGTGAGTTGGAGCGAGACTAAAGGTGACCTTTAGTCCGAAGGCAAGTGTTAGGAGCCGGGACTAAAGATCCCTCTCCTATATACGCCAGCTCCCTTCTCTTCCTCCTCTCACTTCTCGTCTTCGACTTCATCGTCATCAGCGAGCCGCGCCGCCGCCAACCGCCGCCGATTCGGCTCCCCGTCACCAGATCGTGGATCCCGACCACCCCGACGCCGCCCTCCTCGCTGGAGGAGCCCCCAACACCGCGCCCGTCACCGGAGGAGCCCCCAAGACGACGCCCCACGCGCGCCACCTCTCACCGCGGCCCCCACGCCGGCCTGCACGCGCCACCGGCCTCCCCACTGACGGCGCCCCCCCGCAGGCACTCCATGACGCCGGCGCGCGCCTCCCCACCGACGACGCCCCCCACGGGCACTCCACGACGCCCACGCGCCGCCTCTCGCCCGCATCTACACGACGCTCCGTGCGCGCCGCCTCTCACCGCGGCCCACGCCGGCCTCCACGCGCCACTGGCCTCCCCACCGACGGTGGCCCCCCGCGGGCACACTCCACGCGATGTTCAAGGCCGCCTCCCAGCCACCGACGCTAGCTGACCGCCCATGCAGCACCACCCACCCCCGACCATCAATAAGTATATAATTATTTATAAATTTTATTTTTTATATATATGAAATGTATATGGAAGTATATGAAATTATATCTATGAAATGTATAAATTTATGTTATATATAATGTTATATATAATACTAAATTTCATTTTATATGTATGAAATTATATGTATGAAATGTATAAATTTACAAGTATAATACTAATTAAATTTCATTTTATATGTATGAAATTATAATAATGGGTTATATATATATATATGAAATGTATAAATTTATATTTATATCTATGAAATGTGTATGAAATTATATGGCTAAACCCTAAACCACCCTATATATATGTAATCCATTAAAATTATATATATGACATGTATAATTTACTTAGGAAAAAATCTATTGTGGAGTATGTAAAAAATTATATATCTATGAAATGTGTATGAAATGTCTATGAAACCCTAATTGCATAATTATTGTTTTATAATTGTTTAGGCTCTCTATGGCCGACCCAAGAGACGATGACCTGGAGGCGGAAATGATGGATATTATCAACGCCGGCACTGAACATTGTGCCGATGTTGATAATGACCAGCAGGAAGACGACGGGAGTCAATACTTGAATCTCGATCATATTGTTGAGCAGGAAGTTGTTCATGAAGATAATTCCGGCGAGGTATATATTTCTCAATATCCAACTCTCATTTATTTATTATGCATACATGTAACCCACTGGATCGACCTTCGTTTTATAATACTTATTGTGTTTCTATGCGTACATAGCCGTCTGGATCGACGACGATGACGGGGAACACAAAGAATGTTCGAGGGGCCAAAAAGCCGTTGGAAGGCCGCTACATCATCTCAGAATTCAACATGGCTACAGGCGAACCACTAGGACAATATGCATAGAAATTCGTGTACCACTATGGGTACCTTGTAAGGAACAAGCTCCCGATCAATGCCCGTGAATGGAAAAAAAATAACAATGCTCCTCATATTAGTTATGTCTCTGATAAGGACAAGGAGCTGATTTGGCAAGATGTTCTTGCACATTTCACGCTCCAAACAGATAATTATCATGAAGACATCACCCACGAAAGGTTGACGGAGCGAGTTAGGCACTGGACAATGAAGAAGATGGCCACCCAATTCCAATCTTAGAAGAAGCAGCTATACAAATCATACGTCAAGAAGAACAAGACTCCAAATTAGAACGATAAGGGCCCAATCGAAGGCAAGGCCCTCATCGGGAGGAATTTATACAAGACAAGACATCGAAGAGGTGCGGAATTCAAGAGAAGGAACCAAGAGAATTTCAGACAAAAGCAATACCACCATAACATAGGATCAGGTGGCTACGCGACTTCCGTTCCCAAGTGGCAAAAAATGGAAGCAGACCTTATTGCCAAGGGGGTCGTACCTAAATCAGCACCGTGGCCTGAACGCACAAAGCGTTGGTTTTTAGGTCATGGGGGAGGATTGGACCTAGTCATCGGGAAGCTCGTCCATGGCACAAAACTCGAAAGAGCAACAGAAATGTTGATTCAAATTCTAAAAGCTAGAGATAGTGGACTATTCCGGCCCAACAGAGAGAAAGATGAACTGACATATT